TGGCGAGTTCCGCAGTAATCTCGTTTATCATTTTCCTGTCTGGATTCGGTGTCACCTGCTTAAATATTTTCTCCATGATCTGAAGCTGCTCAGTTGTTGGAGTCCACCTCGGCTTCATGTTAAATATTCCCTTTGATGTGTCTCCTCCATACATATTTACCGGCTTAACCACCTCTGACATCACTGAAAACACCACACCCATTTGTTTCAGTATATTTGTTACAACCGCCTCAGACCAGTGTAACAAACTCTTAACAGAAACAGCCCTAACACATTCTAACCGTTTACAGTTACACGGTTAGAATGTAAACGGTTAGAATGGGTAACTTACTATAACAAAAAAAATTTATTACGGTGAATAATAAGTGATAAAAAAATAAAATTGTGAAAAAAGATGAATGGAAGAAAATAGGGAATGACCTTGAGGAGGAGCTTGGCGAGCGGCACGGTGTGCGCTGTACTTCTCAGCGAGTTGTTCAGAGAGGGTTTCGTAAGCAGCAATTTGTATCCTCAGAGTCTCGATTTGTTTTTGGGTCATGGAGACATTCCCGCGCATCATCGTTGCTGCGTTGTTCGCGTTGTGGTTCGAATGCTGCTCCTGAAATCCCATGCCGTTCGACATCTCTTCAATATTTCAATTTTTTTTCATTACAAAAAAGAAAACACTACTTATCATGAGAAAACATGAATGAAAATAATGACCGTTTACATTCTAACCGTACACTGGTCTGAGGCGGTTGTAACAAATATACTGAAACAAATGGGTGTGGTGTTTTCAGTGACGTCAGAGGTGGTTAAGCCGGTAAATATGTATGGAGGAGACACATCAAAGGGAATATTTAACATGAAGCCGAGGTGGAGTCCAACAACTGAGCAGCTTCAGATCATGGAGAAAATATTTAAGCAGGTGACACCGAATCCAGACAGGAAAATGATAAACGAGATTACTGCGGAACTCGCCAATCATGGAAATATTTCGGAGAAAAATGTCTGTAATTGGTTCCAGAATAAGCGTGCTCGGTCCAAGAAAAAACAGCCCAATGCGGTTATTGCAAATAATGTTAACACTAATGGCCGGTTGACATCAGGAGATAGCCGCTATCAAATGAAATAAAAGGGGAAATGCGCATTTACTCTCCATTTCGATTTTCTTCTCATTCCTTGAAAGTTGAAATCATAGAGGAACAAGATTTTTAATGATAATTCTTCTGTGTATTTCCTCACTCTTTTGAAATTCGAATTCTGAATTGATTTCATATTTTGGATTTCAATTTTAAATTTCAAATTGTAATGTTGGGAAAGGATTTGAAAATAAAAAATTAAATAAATAATAATTTCTTTTAAAAATCAAAATAAAAAATCAATAGAAAACTAAGTTAGTCATTTATGGTGGCAGACAACTCATTCAATGTCCCACTTATTTCTACATTGAAATTACTCAGCTCTTTTAAATGCTTTCTACATTGGAATTGCTCGCTCTTTTGAAATTCGAATTCTAAATTGATTTCAAATTTTGGATTTAAATTTTAAATTTCAAATTAAACTAAGAAAGGGAAAATATTATACAATCATAGTCAATCATTCTTATAATCAAGTTTAATTTCTCAAGATTAAATCTGACCATAAGACAATCAAACTATTTTAAATGACTAATAAGTTCTTAATCTCTCCTCGAATTTCTAAGTTAGTTTTAAGTGTGAGGGAGCTCGAAATAGGGAGTAATTGAAGGTAAGAATGAGAGAGCGCTATTGTTATTATTAGTGGTAAGAAAGGAAACAAAGTTTAATTTCATAATTAAATTTGATTTCCAAATTTGATCGGACAATTTAATTTGTATTTTCAAATTAAAAATAATATCTTAAAATAAAAAGATTTATTTTTATAAACAACAACGTTGTCTTTGTTTGAAAAATGATGTAAAAAATTTCATAATGATAAAAAGAAAGTAGCTAGATTTCAAGGTTTGGTACTATCATGCACTGAAATCATCCGTAATATATATATATATTTTACAAAAAAAAAAAGAATAATATAGAATCAATTCATAATCTTCACAAAATAATTTTAAAGCTGCAAGTATATATATATATATATATATATATATATATATATATATATATATATATATATATATATATCTTGGACAAGAACATTCCTGTGGAGTTTGGACTATAACAAGCCCTAACCATGTCCTTGATAATCTTACGTAGCGGACACAGCATCTAGTTGCTGCTTGCTAAGTGCTAACAGAAGCCCCCACCGGTAAGAACGATTTCTTCTTTGTTAATTTTAACTTCGTTCATTATTTTCATTCATGTTTTCTCATGATAAGTAGTGTTTTCTTTTTTGTAATGAAAAAAAATTGAAATATTGAAGAGATGTCGAACGGCATGGGATTTCAGGAGCAGCATTCGAACCACAACGTGAACAACGCAGCAACGATGATGCGCGGGAATGTCTCCATGACCCAAAAACAAATCGAGACTCTGAGGATACAAATTGCTGCTTACGAAACCCTCTCTGAACAACTCGCTGAGAAGTACAGGGCACACCGTGCCGCTCGCCAAGCTCCTCCTCAATGGAGTATTGCATATGTGATGTATGGTGAGAGACGTGTTGGAAATACACAATGTTGATGTTGTTTTGGCTAGGTACCATGATACATGATCATGAGGTTGTAGTAATTTGAAATATTTTGAGAGACTTTTATACCACTGATAATGAATTGTGAGAGTAATGACATTGATGAACTTAGTTCCTTATAATAGGACGAGTAAGTTATAAAAATTCCCATGTGATGAGACTTAATTGCAAGTGATGTGATATGATATGTTTGAATGGCACATAAATGATGAAATGAAATGCTTATGAAATCGAAAGATACATGAAGGAAATGCGTGTGGGATCTATATTGAGATTATAGAATAAGATGTAAACCTAGTAGTTGATGGAAATCTTAGGCATAATGCCTTTAAAGTGAAAACCAATGATAAATTGTATGTTGAGCCTTGAGATGGCTAAGTTAATGGCAGGTGTGGCCTTGTATGTAGAAAATCATGAGTGAAATTGGTGGTTTAAGGCTCTGAATTGGCCAACGTTATAAATAGAAATTGTAATGTGTGATCCATATAATCACAGTGAAATGTGTTGAGAAATTGGTTCGCCAACGTGTTTTGGTGGAAGTTAGTAAACCTAAAAGGTCTGATGCAAGTGTAAGGTACAGGAATGGCGCCTGTTGAGTATTAGGTGCAGGATTGAAATTGCACGTTGTAGGTTGAGAACCTGAGGAAAATGTATGTGTATTCAACTTGTGGCTAAATGCAGTAAATGGGGATTGTCCCCTCAAAAAATGAAATTGCAAATGAGCGTGAACTAGATGATGACTCGGTGAATTGCACTGAGAAGCTGTTGAGATTCCATAACAGTGTGAAATGGGGAATATGATGTATAGAGAAACTGGTTGTTGGATAAAGTAAGACTATGTGATGAGTGTTGCTAAAAAAGGAATTCCCTGACGAAAGTGCTAGAGTTCACTGGAATAAAATTAAGTTGATGGTTAAGTATAGGATGAAATGTGTCAGTGATTGATAGTTGCCTATGTGGCACGAAGTGTAGTAGAATAGATGTGATCCTATGTGGATCTGTTGACGAGCTAAACATGTTAGCAAAATCTTCAAAAAGAAATTTTGGGGTCTATATGTAATATAACCCAACTTGTGAAAATGAAATAGTGTGCAGTTGAAAATTGCAACTGCAATGTATGCTCCGGTTGTTCACATATAGTGGCACCGGATGATGTTGAAATCGGGAAGGATTAAAGACTCTCATTGGGCCTTTGAAATGCTGGGCCATTGTGAAATGAGGCTCAAAAGCCAGAAAATTGTGAGGTAAATGATTCAGTGTGAAGCCCGTATGCTTGGGAAAAGCTACTCGAGAACGGGAGACTGAGATTCTCCAACTGTATCCAGAGTTAGCATGTAAGTATAACTTAATTTTGCGGACAAAATTCTAAAAAGGTGGGGTGAATATAACACCTCGTAAATCTAAATATGAAATTATATGCTATAATGTGGGTTAAAAGGGAAGGATTAGTGAAAATCCGGAAATTAAGGCCAAATTGTGTGAAAAGGGCAAAATGGTAAATTACCAAACATGTAACTCGAGGCATGATGAAAAATTGAGTAGAAGACCTCAAATGATAAAAATAATGCCGGAAATGGATTCAGGACGAAAAATCGAGTGAATAGGCAAGTTTTGAAAGTTTTGATGAATAATGATTTTCCCGGTGTAAAAATACTGCGGTATAATTGTACCGATAAGCGTGAAATTTTTATCAGTATTTTTAGGAAACAAAAATATGACATGAACCAGAAAAATACGTAGTTTATGAAATTGTGGTTTAAATTAGATGTTTCATTAAAGTTAAATCGCGTGTGGGACCCGCGGAACCAAAACCCACTTAAGTTTCCCTCATTTTCCCTCAACCTCACGAGCTCTCTCTCTCCTTTCCCTTTCTTTTCTAGCGTGAAACAGCCCTCCCACCATTGATGAGCCTTCATCTTTTTGCTCTCCAAAACCATCATTTCTTGGCCAAATCCTTTGATTTTGGTGTTGAAATCAATTGGAAAACCCATTCTAAAGCCATTGGTGATACCCTCTAGCCTTGAAATCGCTCCCTTGGTGAGTATTTAGCCTAGGTCAGTTTTGAAAGATTGGAAAAAAGTGATGTTCATGGAGGCATTGGACCTCTAGATGCTTGGAGAAGCCTTGGTGGAGAGTCTAGCATTGATTGTGAGTGTATTTACATGGTTTTTATGATTGATTTCATAGATCAAATTTATGAACCCTATGCTTGTAATTGTTGATTTATGATGATTGGAGGCTCAAATGGAAAAATTGCATTAGACGATAATGTCTTAGAATGACATGATTGAGCTAGAAATGCTATGAAAATCTAGGTGAAAATCTTGACGATTGATTGGTTTTGGAAGTTGGGGTTTGGTTGTGAGAGTGTAAGTGCAGAGGGTTTTGGGTTTCAGTTTTAGAGGTGTTAGGGTTCGAAGAGGAGAGTTTGAAAATTTTGGAAGTGTGAGGGAAAAAGAAAATTGGGAATATTTTAAAACAGGCTGATTTGGGACGCGCTTAAGCGCCCTCTTCGAATTGGGCCCTTTTGACCGTGGGCCGCGCTTAAGCTCCCTTCTCTCGCGCTAAAGCGCGGAGAGGCAGAGGCAATTGGCCTATTTTCCTTCCTTAGCGTGCTTAAGCTTCCTTATCTCGCGCTTAAGCGCGGCGAGGCAGTGAGTTATGGCCAATTTTCTTAATTATCACGCTTAAGCCCCATTTTGGGAGCTTAAGCGCGATCTGCGAATGGATTTTTTTTCAACTCTGGAGCGCGCTAAAGCCTCCTTTATTCAATTTTAAAAATGCATGACCTATAAGCATCTAGGCTGGCCTACATTTATTCAAAATTATATCATATAATTTTAAATAATATATATATTTTGGTAATATTTTAAATAATATAGTTTTTTTTTTGTAAAACAATAATATAATTAATCATTATATAATGCATGTCAATAAAAAAAATATTTCAGAATAGGTGTTGCTACTCACGGCAAGTGCACCGATCGTACAAGTAATATATGATTAAGTAAGAGATCGTTCCCACGAGGATTACGGTTCAAGCACTAATTCACTATCGCAAACTTAGTTGGACAATCGAAAGTGTATTTGGAAACAGGATTTGAATTGTAAAATTAAAATATTAAATATTAAGCTAATTACTTGCAAGAATTAAAGACAAGAAATTAAAGATGTGATTTAAGAATGTAAAAGAACGTAGCTAGGGGTTCGATTTCCTTTAATCTCCTTATTATGATTCAAAGTCCTTCTTTACGTTAACCGTCCTTAATATCAATCTAACCAATTCTTTCGCGTGTTATTAGAGCTCAATCCCTTGTTACCCTAAAACCTTTACAAACTTGAAAGAACCCTAGTTCCCCGGTTATTCCCCAAGAATGCAAGCATTAAGTTCAAGAATCTTAAGGTTACGCAAATTCTATGTCTATTCCTAGAATCATAGCGTTTACGATGAAGTTATCAGATATGGATCACACACCAACATCCCTATTGTCATGCATTTACCGATGATCATTATATAAGATTCAAGCCTATATAAAGCATTAAAAACAGATAAATCATACCAGCATCCAAGAGCTTCACGACTTCTTTTCTCACAACTTCTTTCATAGTTGGATTCAATCTCCTCTGTGGTTGTCTGACTGGCTTCACCTCATTCTCCATCAATATTTTATGAGTGCAAAAAGATGGGTTTATTCCTTTCAAGTCTGTAATAGACCATCCTATAGCTGTTCTGTGCTCTCTCAACACCTTCAATAATTTTTCTTCTTCGGCGGTTGATAAATTTATGTTGATGATCACCGGGTATGTCTTGCTTTCTCCAAGAAATGCATATTTCAAAGTGGGAGGAAGTTCTTTCAATTCAACCTTTGGTGCACCTGGAATGATATCATCAACTTTCTCTTCTAGCTTTTCAACCTCTTGTTCTCCTTCTGTTGCTTCAGTCGTATTGTGCAGTAGATCTTCTTCTAATGACTCCAATTCCATCAGTGGTTGGAGTATTTCATCAACTGTATCTAGCACTGCATCATTGATCACATCAATCTTGAAGCAATCTCCTCCGTCGGAAGGATGTTTCATAGATTCAAGAACATCAATAGTTACGGTTTCATCATTAACCCGCAACATCAGCTTACCCTGCTCCACATCAATCATAGCCCTTGCAGTGGCTAAAAAGGGCCTTCCCAACAGTAAGGGAATTTCAGCATCCTCTTGCATGTCTAAGATGACAAAGTCTGCAGGGAATATGAACTTATCAATCTTCACCAAGACATCTTCAATAACTCCATCTGGCCTTCTGGTAGATCTGTCTGCTAGCTGCAGTGAAACTTTGGTCGGCTTTAATTCATGAATCCCCAGAGCCTTGCAGATGGATAATGGCATAAGGTTAATACTAGCTCCCAAGTCACATAACGCCTTTCCCACATCAATGTTGCCAATTTCTATGGGAATGCTGAAACTTCCAGGATCTTCAAGTTTTGGAGGCAACTTTTTCTGAATTATAGCACTACACTCTTCCGTTAACGTCACCGTTTCACATTCTTTCAGTTTACGTTTCTTCGATAAGAGATCTTTCATGAACTTTGCGTAATTCGGCATGTTCTCCAAGGCTTCAGCAAATGGAATATTGATTTGTAGCTTTTTGAAGATGTCAAGGAACTTCGAATACTGCTGCTTTTTGATTTCCTCTCTGAACCTCTGCGGATATGGAATTTTTGCATAAGGTGAGAGCTCCAATGGCTTTTCTTGTCTTTCTTGAGCTTTCTTTTTCTCCCATTTGAACTCTTTCTTTTCTGGAACAGCTTTCTCTGCAGTAGGCTCTTTGTCAACTTCTTTCTCTTTTTCTTCTTCAATGGCAGGTCCCTCAACTTTCTTTTTCTCTACTGAAGGCTTAATCAAAGGTTCAATTACAATGCCACTTCTAGTGGTAATGGCCTTGCAGTGTGCGTTTGGATTAACGTCTGTATTACTCGGGAAAGTGCCTTGGGTTCTTTCATTGAACTGCCTTGACAATTGACCGATCTGGGTTTCAAGATTCCGGATAGAGGCTTCTTGATTCCGGAATGAGGCCCTGGTCTCCTGCATAAAGGTTGAAGTGTCTTCCCTGAATGCATTGGTACTTTGAACGTAGTCTGATGTGGTCTTGGATAGTTGTGCAAAGGCTTTCTCCCACTCTGATTGTTGTGGAGGTTGCTGTGGTGCTGGCATAGGAGGATTTAGCTGATGATTCGAGCTATAACTGAATCCTGGATGTTGATTTTTATTTCTCCACCCTTGATTCTGGTTATTGCCGTATTGGTTCCTCCCTGGATTATATGGAACTTTCTGATCATGCCAAATTCCATTAACATCTGCAGTTTCGGGTGCCTTGCAGTCATCAGTAGTATGAGCACCTGCGCAAATATCACAAACAATAGAAAAAGTATTAACATGAGCTACTGAAGTATTAGAAGAAACTTGAAAATCAGAAAATTGCTTTGTGAGAGCATCTAGTTGTTGTTGCTGTTTCTTATTGGACTGTAGGATCTGATCATTCTGGGCCAAGATGGCATCATAGCCATCAAGCTTCATAATCCCCGCTCTTCTCTGTGGTGCGGGAGCATTATCATACTCCTGAGAGGCTAGAGACTCTAGTAATTCCAAGGCTTCCTCTGGAGTTTTTGTCTTCAAGGACCCTCCTGATGCAGCATTCACCACTGTTCTTGTGTTCGGCGTCATCCCTTGGAAGAAGGTTTTCGCTTGCTCCCAGGCTTCAATGCCATGTTGGGGACACTTCCTGAGCAGTCCTTTGAATCTTTCCCATGCTTCGTATAGAGATTCACTTTCTTTTTGTTCAAAAGAAGTGATATCCGCCTTGAGCTTTGCCATCTTCGAAGATGAGAAAAATTTATCCAAAAATTTGGTTGCCAAGTCGTCCCAGTGAGTGATGCTTCCTTGAGGTAACGATTGCAACCATCCTCTTGCTTCGTCTTTAAGTGAACATGGGAACAACCTGAGCAAAATAGCATCCCGAGACACCCCGTTCATTTTCAAGGTATCACAATATAGCAAGAAGTTTTCCAGATGGATGTAAGGGTCTTCAGTGCTTCCTCCGGCAAATTGGTCTTTCTGAATTAATTGTAAAAGTGCCGGCTTGAGTTCAAAGTTGTTAGCATCCACGTTTGGTCTAACAATACTCGCCGTCTGTGGAACTCGAGCAGGAGTCATGTAATCTCCCAACGTTCTCGGAGGTGGTGGAGGTACATTGTTGTCTCCCATTGCTTCTTCTCTCGGTTCTGTTGAGCTTGAAGCTTCTTTCTCTTGTTGTCTTCTTTCTTTAGCAAGTTTTCTGTTTCTTTTTGCTGTTTTCTCTATCTCCGGGTCGAATTGCAAGGAATCGGTGTCAACGGTACCTCGCATAAACCAGAAAAATAGATTATATAAAATAAGAAAATAAAACTGAATTTAAATAACAGAAAATTAAATAACAGAAAATAAGGTCCAATCTAAAGAATTAATAGCTACTATTAATGTTGAAATAGTAATCCCCGGCAACGGCGCCAAAAACTTGTTGCTACTCACGGCAAGTGCACCGATCGTACAAGTAATATATGATTAAGTAAGAGATCGTTCCCACGAGGATTACGGTTCAAGCACTAATTCACTATCGCAAACTTAGTTGGACAATCGAAAGTGTATTTGGAAACAGGATTTGAATTGTAAAATTAAAATATTAAATATTAAGCTAATTACTTGCAAGAATTAAAGACAAGAAATTAAAGATGTGATTTAAGAATGTAAAAGAACGTAGCTAGGGGTTCGATTTCCTTTAATCTCCTTATTATGATTCAAAGTCTTTCTTTACGTTAACCGTCCTTAATATCAAACTAACCAATTCTTTCGCGTGTTATTAGAGCTCAATCCCTTGTTACCCTAAAACCTTTACAAACTTGAAAGAACCCTAGTTCCCCGGTTATTCCCCAAGAATGCAAGCATTAAGTTCAAGAATCTTAAGGTTACGCAAATTCTATGTCTATTCCTAGAATCATAGCGTTTACGATGAAGTTATCAGATATGGATCACACACCAACATCCCTATTGTCATGCATTTACCGATGATCATTATATAAGATTCAAGCCTATATAAAGCATTAAAAACAGATAACTTCATTCATGATAAAAAGGAAAATTAACGTACGAATTATTCAAAGCATAATAAATCGACTAAAATCCATCTAACCCTAACTACTTAAAGAACTAGCCGGACATGGCAAAATCAAGAACAAAAGAAAATAGAAAGGCTCCCCCAAACTCCATAGGTGATTGGTGGATCTTCAAAATCTCCAGTGAACACTTGACGTTGATCCGTCTCCGCCGCTCACGAACATGAATCTGATGTTTCTTCGCGTTCCCTCCGCCTTCAAGCACCCAAGAGTTGTTTAGCAATCTAAAAGTTATGTATTTCTGGTCCCCAATGGCCCTTTTATTGGCCAAGAGTTCGTATCCTAGTAGAAAACTCGAATGGGCCTAAGTTGGATCTGTCTGGGCGCTTAAGCCTGTTGTAGCGCGCTTAAGCGCCCTAGGACAGTGAATTCTGATTCGCGTTGCGCGCTGAAGCGCTCTGAAGGGCGCTTAAGCGCGCTCCTCGCGACAACTTTTTCTTCTTGTGGCGCGCTTAAGCCCTGAGTTGGGGGCTTAAGCGCCCAGAGGCAGTAGCTATTTGCGTTTTTAGGGAGCTTAAGCTTCTGAATGGGGGCTTAAGCTCCCACTTCTAACAACTTGATAAGATCCTCAATCTTATTGTTTTTGATCTTCTTCTATCATCTCTTGATCTTATCTTTTCTAGTTGTGATCTCTATTTATCCAATCTTCATCTTTGACTCCTTTTGTCAACAAATCCCTAAAAAATAGCAAAGATGATTCCATTAAACAAAAATTCAGATAATGTTCATGATTATTATATTAAACCTTAGTTTTTGACTTATTTAACTTGATATTTTATATTAATTTAGTCTATAAAATAAGATAAACTAAAGGTTTATCAAGTACTTAAGTCCATTAGTCTAACCTGCAATTTCTGATACTAATGTCAAAAAGTTAGTCATTGTGCTCATCTAATCACTTGTTACGTGTTACCTGGCAGTCCTCTAATGTGGTTTGCAGTTGTTATTTTTTTGCTTGTGGACGTTCATGGTTAGAATGTTTCCCTCTTTCAGTTTCATTTTTTACCCTAGCTTTTCTACATCTGAATCACTAGTTATTATTTATCTGTATGAGCTATATTAGGTTGGCATGCATATCTCTGGCTATCCTATGTTCCCGTCTTGGTGAGTCATGAGTACGCTGCAGCATTTATTTGTTTATTTCAAATAATGAATCTGCAAGGCTTCTAATTTTGCTTTCATGCATTTTCTTTGTAGATGGTTCTGGTTTTGGGAGCTAAACTTGAAGTGATTGTGGTAGAGATGGCTCTTCAGATGAAGGATGTAAGTAATGTAACCATGGGAACCCCTCTTGTTTGTCCAAGTGACAATCTCTTCTGGTTTGGCCATCCAGGATTTATGTTAACACTCCTACATTACACTTTATTCGTGGTAATTATACCTCCTTTGTATAGATATATGAGAATGAATAAAGGAAGTGATATCCATGATATATAATCACTTCACTAAACTAACAGATTTTAACCTGTTGAACCTGAACAGAATGCATTCGAGCTTGCCTTCTTTATATGGGTATCAGTAAGTTCTCTTTCTATGTGCTTCTTTATGAAAATTTAACATTAGAAATTTGGTCCAACATATGGCTGAACCTAACATCTTTCTCTTGATTTGTATATGTATTTTCTTGGTTGCCAGACACAGTTTGGATTAAATTCTTGCTACCACGAAAACAAATCATTTACAATCACAAGGGTGGTGATAGCGTAATGACAGCCTACAACTTATAATAAATTGATTTTTCTGAATGCTGATCCTGCTGCAGTGAATTTTTTTAATCCTCAGTGACATTCAGATTTATTATTTTCCTCAGGGTGGCAGTTCAAGTCCTTTGCAGCTATGTAACTCTCCCCCTTTATGCACTAGTGAGACAGGTGAACTCTATTGAGACATTAATGTGTTCTGCTGTTAGCCCCTGCCATCTTATGCGGGGTTAAGAGGTTTAAGGTCTACCTAGATCTTAAAGCTTGGATCTATAATAGGGAATAATTGAGCAAATAACTTGAGGGAAAAATATTTGTCATTTTAAAGAATATAGAGTTATGTCATTTTAAGCAAGTGAAAGACACAATCTAACTTTTTTTATTTAAAATTTAAATTTAAAAAAAAAAATCACTCACTTTCTTCCTTCATAATTTTCATTGCTTGTGTCTTTCTCTCACTTAAAATGATACAACTCTACGATCCTTTATAATTACAAACATCAAAGCCATATCTTAATGTCTTGACATTGGATTGTTACAGATGGGTTCACAATTGAAGAGCAAAACGTTGGCTAAAATTCTGAGGCAATGGCATGTTGAAGTGAGGGAGAGAAGGAAGAAGCAAGAAGAACTTGTAAAGTCTTCTATTTCTAGGCACATAAATATGTCCTCAGAATGGAGCCAAAGAGAGAGGAGTGCCCGTGAGTTTGAGTTTTCTTCCACGCTAGGCGAAAGCATTTGTTTCGCTAACAAAGGAGAAATTGTAGAAGAACTGAAACAAACAATGAAAACAAAGGCAAGCTCATCCGGTGAACCATCTAGTGCTGTCCCACCGGAAATGCCAAATCTGAGGAGTACAAGAACAAGAAAGTAGAGAAATAGTACTGATTCTATTGAGGAGTACAATGAATCTCTTGGATCCATGAATTGATTTGTGCTGCTGATATAGTAAAATCTAAAGTGGGCACAATTGTAAAGGGAAACAACCTATATTATCCCAGCTCAAACCATCAACATTATTTAAAACTTAAAACAATAACCAAGCCTTATCTCACTGAAGAGTGTTTGTTTTGGTTCTTAAAGGCGACGTAAAAGCTTATAAATAATGTTAGAGATGAATAAAAACATTAACAGTAGCTTTTGAGTTGAATTGGTTCTTTACAAATAATAAATCCTCTTGTCGTAAAATTTAATAAACTTGTTGTATTTGGTGAGGACGTGAGTCATCATATGAATTTACTTAATAGCTTCCAAATACCAAAAAGCCTTCGCCTGAGCACATTCAGAATGAGAAAAATACAAGTGACCATAGAACAATTTTCTTTTTTGTCATTATTACTAGACTAAGGCCTTAACCCATAAATGTTGTCTCTGGGGTGAAGCCAAACATGCAATTAACTGTACCCTTGTCCATGTTGGTATACCCCATTCTGACTCTGATGGAACATAACCAGCTTGCAAATCGGATTTTGTTGGTATGACAACTGTAACGTCAAGATGCCCGAATTCATATTTGGATCGATTCACCTTAGTCTTATATCTTCAATTTTTGCTGTTTTACCAACTTCAGAAATTTTTGGATTTACTGATGAGAAACAATTTATTTGGGCCCTTGCATATTATCTGACGCGTAGAGCATCATATTCTGCTTTCAAAGCATGGGTAGAACAGTCATTTTATCAGTAGAAATTGTGAAGAGTTCAGAATCCTTGTCCAATGTCCATGGTGACCACACCCTTCGTTGTCTAAGATTGTGACATATACTTCTCCACGTTCATTTGCCTTCACTCGCTTCTCTGGTTCTCTTTCTTTTCATCACCACCACTCACTACTCTATTGAGCCACCAAGTGTTAAAACTCTTCATACCCAAAACTCTCTCTCTCTCTCTCTCTCTCGCAAGCACAAGCAATGGAAGACAAATACTATCTATGCATTGTAGCCGAAATGGATCGACTCTGGTTTCACCAAATCATTCTTTTCTCAGAACCAACAGCATCAGTAACTCCCGAACCAGTGGAAAAACCTGTTCCTATATCAGAATCTCCTTCTTGCTCATCATCCATTCTTTCTTTACCTCCTCTGCCAGATGAAGAAACTTCAACGGATGAATCACCTTCTTTAGAGATACAAGTCTCATCAGAATCAATCTCCTTGTCTCTTCAGGTATACTTCGAAAAAGCAGTTAGTACTATTTGTTCAATTTGATAGGGAACCATGCTTTCTTCTTCTTTTGTTAACTCTATTTTTTTCTGTTACAAGGATGATTCAATTGACAAGAAAGAAGAAACGAAAGAGAGATTCGCTAGAATGAAACTTTTGGGTAACAGAATTCGTTCACATTCATCTTCACCATCATCTCAAAACCGTAACAGAAAATGCAGGAAACGAGTTACTACTACAAGGAAACTGCAGAAATCCATGAGCTGCAGGACGCTTGGGGAACTGGAACTTGATGAAGTGAAGGGTTTTATGGATCTGGGTTTCATATTCAAGAAAGAGAATCTATGCCCACGAATGATGAGTGTTGTCCCTGGCTTGCAGAGACTCGGTTTACACCAAAATAAAGAACACGCACAAGTAATGGATGTCACAGAAATGGTTCGAGTGATTGATGTTGAAGAAGAGGAAGAAAAGAGAGATATCATGAGACCTTATTTATCAGAGGCATGGCTTATAAAGAGACCTGATTCACCGCTACTAAATTTAAGAATTCCCAAGCCTTCTTCATCTGCCAATATGAAGAAACATCTTCGGTTCTGGGCTAAAACTGTGGCTTCAGAAATCAACCAAGAATGAGTAACGGTAAATATACCAGTTAATGGTAGCACAATAATTGTATGTTAATAGAAGCAAAATAAGAGAGGTGGTGCAAAATCAGCAAATGTAATTTCCCTCCTCCTTTTAATTATTTTTTGTCTGCTAGGCAATTAAAGGGAGGGTTCTCATTGGAATCATATGTGGAGGCTTTGTTAATGAATTGGTTGTTTGAGGAATACAAATTCGGTAGATAAGCACACACAACTGAAGAGGGACCCACTATGAATTATGATGTTGTTGCTTGACAAGTGGGGGCTTTAACAACGCACAAGCATTCGACAGCTCGACCAGACAGTTCCATTGTTTTTTGTTCGTGTATATGACTCACCGGAGAAATCGTGTTTCATGTCATATCAGGCATCTTTGTTTGCATTAGAATGGAACAATGATTTTGAAGGAACTTGAATCCTGTCCCATCTGTATTTCGTTTGTCTACACTCTGCAATATCGCAATATCAACCCAAATGGAAATATATTTATTTAAGGCTATACTTTTTTTCTTTATCATTGTTTTAAAATATATATATATATATATATATATATATATATATATATATATATATATAGGCAGGATATACTTACCACAAAAAAAGTTTATCATCTTTACAACCAACTTAATCACCGTTGATTTCCGTAAATCTAATGATTATAATTTATTGGGAATTAATAATTAATTAATAAATGCGATCCAATAATTTTCAATAAATTGTAACCGTTAGATTGACGGAATGGTGATTAGGTTAGTTGTAAAGGTTGTAAACTTTTTTGGTGGTAAGTATATCATTTTTCATATATATATATATATATATATATGGATTTAATGTTTCTAAAGTGAATGTAGATAAGTTATCTACATTCACTCTCAAAACGACGTCATTTTAAATTTAAAAATTAAAAAATTATAATGAAAAATACTATTTTAACCCTAAAATAAATTATAATTACAAAAATACCTTGATTTCTGTCTCAAAACGACGTCATTTTGGGCTCACTGTAGATAAGTTATCTACGTTGAATGTAGAAAAAGTGAACCCTATATATATATATATATATATATATATATATATATATATATGGGGCAGGATCATCTTACACCGGTGTAAGAATAATAAGTCTTACACCAAATCTTAACCGTTGATTTTTTGCATCTAACGGTTAAGATTTAGTAGGTCTCACTCATTAATTAATTTTTAATTCCCAATAAATCTCAACCGTTAGATGCACGGAAATCAATGGTTAAGATTTGGTGTAAGATTTATTATTCTTACACCGGTGTAAGTTGATCCTACCCCTATATATATATATATATATTAATATTTTTGCTTTTATTGCATAAATTTTTTTCTGACGCACTCGCTTAAAAGTGAGTGAGTCCCATTATAAAGAGAAAAGAGAAAAAAATTTATCTGAGTGTGACATATAAATTTTTTCGTGTATATATAGAGCTTTGTTATTCTCCTGTCAAAGGAGACAAGATTCTTTTCCCACTGACTTAACAATAATGTGGGGTCAATTTAGTTTCTTTTTCTTTTTCTTTTTTTAGTGGGTCCCTTTGTTGGTTTGTCTATGCGGTTGGAGAAAAGATTTTTCCTGTAAAATGAGCCACTGCCGTCACCACCACCATCACCACACCACCGTCACTAATCACCATCACCATCGTCGCGGCCACTGTTATTATCATCGCCGCTGCCACTGCCATGTCACCACCACCACCACTACTATGTCATTGCCTCTGCCACAACCATCGTTGCAACCATTGCCATCACCACCACCACCATGCTATAACCACCAGCACCATACCACCATCAACACCAGCACCATACCAGGTTCGGAACTCCAGGTTCAGGAAGGGTCTCTTAGAGCAATGTAGGATCACCAAGGTTATGAATACGTGGCAATGGAAGATACATCCTGAGCTTAAAGTCGAGTTGAAAGAAGAGGGGGATGCATATATGGAGGAGGCTGGTGATGATGCTAATGGTGATGGTGATGATACTGATGAGGAAATCCCTATGCCGGATTTGGATCCACCTCTCCCAACTGTTGAGGTTGGATACACTCTTAATGATGTCATAACCTCTATCTGTGACTTGATACGAGAATTTAAGGGGTGGAACGCAGACATGATTCAATGTGGACTTATATGATTAGACTTGAAGATAGGACGGACCGCTTGGAGGTTTCATATAGACAGACTCCAAGATCGTGGATGAGTTTGCTTTAACTAAGGATGACAATGACAATGATGATGAGGAGATGCATTTAGAGTAGTTTAGAATTATTTTATGCCAAATGGATGAGTTTTCCTTTCACAATAGAAATGCTCTAAAAATGACAGTAATAGTAATTGTGTAAACTATTAAGAATTATGTACTATCGATATAAAAGAGTTTTGTCTTTATATTTGATGATGTGTTACTATATTATTAAAGGGATATATTTTTCTTATGTTGTAAGAAAAAAATTATATCATGTTGTAGAAATAAAAGTATAAGTGGGACCCACAGGCTACGATGCACGGACACGGACACGGGACACAGGACACGGGACACGACACGACACGACACGACGACACGTTAATTCTAAAAAAATGCTAAATTTTGACACGTTGGGACACGTTTTGATATTAAATAAAATATTTAATATATATAATATAATTTATATTTAATACATATAAGAGTCCATAATAACTCATATAACCAATCAAATATTTAAATTTCATAACAAGAATGCAAGCATGACTTATATGTTTGATTGATTGAGAATGCAGTGATTGATTGAGAATGCAAGCATGACTTATATGCAAGCATTAACTTGTAGCCCAAGTTAATCAAGAATGCAGTGATTGATTGAGAACAACCTCATTGGATCTTTTCAAGAGAATGACTATCTAATTATGTCTTGCAGGCAGAAAGTAAATTCTCTTATTTGATCAATGCAAGCATGACTTATATGTTATGTACCAAATCACTTATTTAAGTAATGGGATGGTATGGTCGTCAGGAAAAATTCTATGTTTAGACATTTGTATGTCCACTTTAAGCAGAGACTTAAGTGCCAAGGCTTGTAAGGATGAGCTCTAATGCAACAAGGGCAATACTTCAGCATGAATTTGAGCTTCAAATAAAAGAGAAACATCTATTACTCTCGACTATTGAACACTACGGAAATATTAAAGAAACTATGTATATTATAGTAGGTATAGAATCGTAATCAGAATGAATCAAGTTCTAGTAAGCAACTTTAATTCCAAAATACAAATTAAAGCAGAAAAAAAAACAGCAAAGTATCATAAAAAATCCAAATCCAAAAAACACCACTAACATTGATTAAATCCACAAATTGTAATCAGTAAGGCACCTCAATTGTGATTTCCTCAACAATGGAATACTCCTTGGCTTTGGAAACCAGCAAAGTATAGCTTTCATCCACTCCAAGTTGAAGCTGCAAAGAAAAATTTCTCACTCTCAATTCTCAAAACTAAAATTAACCTTCAAAAACCCAGAAACAAAATAAGAAAAAACAACCAAAGTAAGAATCTTTTAAACCACCTCCTCGCTATTTGAATGAACAGTGATCTTCAATCTGGAAATATCATAGGCAGATATTATTCTTTCCCTTAACTTTCTGATAGAACCAAACCCATGATCACTGTGCTTAAATCATGAAATATCATATGCCAAACTTCAAATATTATAGTTCAACTATGAGCAGAACTTAATTCACTACAAGGTCCCATTGACTGATAATCAAAAAGGCGAGAATCGAAAGAGAATGGAAAGAGACTTACCGGAGACGACGACCGACGACCAACGACCGGAGACGACGACCGACGACGAAAGAAGAGAAGGACCAGGCGATCAACAACCTCCACTCTCCAGCGCGAGAGAGGATCAGAGGATAGGGTTCATTTTTTATTTTTATTTAATATTTTTTATTTTTTAATTGTAATTTTATTTAGTTTTTACAAAAAAAAATGCAAAACGTGTCCAAATACGTTGACTACGTGTCGGATTCGGTCAAACACACGTGTCCCTCAAGTTAACATGTCCCAAAAAGTTGACCACGTGTCGGACGCGTGTCTGAACGTGTCCGTGTCCAACACATGTCGGACACGCATTTTTTTCTCAAAAAACACGTGTCCGTGTTTCATAGCCCACAGGTAAGAGGAGAGAGAGAAAATAGTGGTGGGACCCAACCCCTTCTTCTGTGTATGGAAAAATTGTTTATCTCATGTAGAATGAGATAAACATAACCCATTATTAAATGCATCAAGTAATTCTTAAAATAGTTAAACTCAATATACGAGGTATTAACAATATTGTAAAAAAATTAATAATAATTACATGTCAAAATCTTTTAATCACTTAGATTAACAAATCTGAAATTAATTAAAATATTTATAAGGGTTTGATGATTTTTCAGAACCTAAAATAATATTGTTTTGAAATTGGAAGAAAAAATTTGTCATAACAAAAATTAATATAACCCAAAATAAGTCAAAATCACAAAATGATCTTTTTCTAAACCCCAGCCGAACAACAATATCTTTAATCTCCCATAATGCCGTAGATTCAATACAATGATTATACTTTTGGTAAGTACCAATCGGTATACAGTGATGTGCAAAAGAATCAAAAAATTGAACTGAACTGTGAACTGAACTGAATTACACTTAAAATAACTAATTTTTGAAAACCAGTTCATGAACCAAACTGATTTTGAAAGAACCATTTCAAGAACCGAAATGGTTTTTAGAAACCAGTTTAAGAACCGAACCATTTTTGAACCGAACCAAACCGTTTTATTACTTTATTTCTTTAATATTTTTTTATTCTTTTTTTTCAGAATAGGTTCGATCTGAACCGATTTCAAATCGAACCGAATCATTTTCAAATTGAACCGAATTAGTTTCTCACGAATCAAAGCATTTAAACCATTTCTTTATAAAATTTAGTTCAATTCGAACTATACATACCCTTATCAGTATATGCAATTCTAATAAGTCTGACTAATGTGATTTCGAGTTTATATCTTTTCACCAAATCTAGAAGTTATATACTCCTTTTATTGAAAATAAGAACAAGTGTGTTATCAAAAAAAATAAAAAAAAATAAGAACAAGTGAAACTTAAACAATATTAACTAAAAAAAAATAGATAAACTTAATTGTATTTTGTTTTGCTTTTTGTAAAAGATGTTCCGAATCCCAATAATCTAATAATACAACTAGGGGTGTCAAAATGGGTTGATACGACACAAATTTGACACGACACGAATCTATCACGACACGAATACATCAACACGAACACGACACGAATTTTTATTCGTGTCAAAATCTTCAACACTGACACGACACAGATTTTTTGCGGGTTGACACGACACGACACAAATAACACGCAAAATAGGGGTTAAATCGGTAATTGACAAAAAATTTTTAAAAAAAAGGTTCAAAATTTAAAAATAATAATAAAAAAATAAAAATGAAATAATTAAAAAAAATATGGGTCGACACGAACACGACACGAATTTTTTACGTGTTATTTTTCCCAACACGAACACGACACGAATTTTTTTACGGGTCAACCCGAACATGAATTTTCGTGTCGTGTCGCGGAACAATCCACGTGTCATATCCTATATTGATACCCCTAAATACAACGAAGACATTTTCCAATATAACATCATTTTGGGTCACACAATAAACATTAATCCTATTTTACAAACCTTTAATTAGCATTTGGCGTTAAGATAATATTTGTTTTTTGATGAGGGATATTTTCACTACCAAAATTTTTCACTACCAACTTACTACTTGTCTAATCACCATTAAATTAATATTTTCTCTCTTTTCAAAAAATTTTAACATTCTCTCTCTTTGATCCAATGATGATGTGATGAGTAATAAATTAATAGTGATAATTTTTTGTAGTTAGAATATCCATTTTTTTACCCCACGAGGAGTAAATGTGTGGCAGCAACCTTTTTTATCTAGAAAAAATGGGTATTCTAGCAGTAGATGCCGATTTCGTTGGGTTAAATCTCTGTCTGTTTTCTTGAAGCTGCGGCCGCAAACATTTCCATTTGTTTTGTCACAAAGCATAGCACAGGTCCTCACCCTCAGCCATGGCCGATGACTTTGAGTTTTCTGATAAAGTTCCTCCTTCCTTCGACCGCGCGGTACAATTACAATTACCAACATCTTAATTTCTTCATCGTTTTTTCTCTTATTACTTAGATCTGGTCTGCATCAATTCATGTACTTTGTTCCTTTTTCCATATCATTGATGAATCAATTATATCTTAAAATCACGGATCAAGCCTTGCATGTTTTGGTCTCAGATCTTTAAAATCATTTAACAAATTTGCTTAATGTTTTAACTTCGGGATGAAGACCCATTCCTGAATTTCTCAATGATGCCAAAACTCATACTGATTCCAATGTTACGGATTGAAATTAAATTAGGGATCTTTTTTAAAATTTATTCTTCAGCTTTTCGGCAAGGGTTTTGATTTGGGTAAATTTTCATATTCAAATTTAATAATTTAGTCATGATTATCTGCTTGTTTATGTTTATGGAAATTATATTGGGCACTTTTAAGGTTTGTTGCATTTTCACTGTGATATGATGGGGCAACTGTTCATAGCGTCAACTGTTGTTGTGTAGGTTAAAATTTCTCTTGTATGCAATGTGTTGCTATTTTATGTTGATGCCAATCCGTGCTTTAGATTTTAGGTGATAGCAATAATGCAGAAGGATAGTTTGGGGCTGTGTTTAACTTCAAACAACACAAGTCAGTTTAAATAGGATGGCATGGCTCTAATGATTTGCACACCCAACGAGAAGTTCTGTTTATTTGAAGTAAAGAATAATATTGTCATGAGATCTTCTAATTTTCTTGTTTCAGAATTTGACTTCAGGAAGTTTTTATATGAAGTAGTTTGAAGCCTTTTAAGTTGAAATTATAATTTCCTTTCAATTGGAAGTCATCATTTCTGCAAAATCCTCTGTATGGCAGCTTGCAATTTATCTCAATCTTTAGCATACTTTGTGTATCAAAGTTTTCTTATCAATAGTGATATTCCATATTGATGAGATTTGCAACCTTCATGATTGGTCTCAAACAAGTCCAATCATTTAATTGTTCTGTGTGCAATTGTTTTAAAATGATCAAAAGTAGTTGCACCTTGTAGTCATTCTTCGTTTGCTCAAATGGACGGAGGCTCATCTTTGAAGAAAACTATAATTCTTATGTTATTGTATACATCGATGCCTCTCGAGTGACAGTATTGCATGTCTATTTTCCATTTAAAATAAATGCGTGTCTATTGCTTGTACAATTTCTTTTTGCTTAGTTCGCTGATATGGCCTTATTTAAAGTGCTTAATTTTTTTGTTACACTTAGGGCTCCCAAGGGTTTAACCCAGGCTTAATAGTTCTCCTGGTTGTTGGTGGGTTGCTGTTGACATTCCTCATTGGAAATTACGTACTCTACTCTTATGCACAGAAGACCCTCCCTCCTAGAAAAAAGAAGCCAGTCTCCAAGAAGAAGATGAAAAAGGAGAAACTGAAGCAAGGCGTCTCTGCACCTGGAGAGTAGAGACTTTGTATTCACTTTATGTTCTATGGTTTAAATTACTCTTCAGAAATTTTTTATCATTCTGTGATGTCTTGAGTTACGTTAATGTTCATCTTTCTATCCTGTGTGTTACTGATAGAAACCTTGGTCTTATGTGTAAGTGCTTTAGCAATATATTTGGGACAAGCTATTTCATGTTTAAATTATCATTTTGCTTTCCCACTGAGGATTTTTACACTGTGTTTGAATTAGGGAACAGAAAAGAAACGAGGGGAAGGTAAACAAGATCCCTTGTATTGAGAGTTTAAAAATATATGGGAAAGGAACGGAACACCAGAAGATTCATTTCCGACCCATTTCCTCTAAGGAAAAATAATCCAAATATAATCTAGGGAGAATTTCTCCCACTAATTACAACTCGTTGCTCCTTGGTGAACAGAGTTCATGTCAAGACAACAAACGACAGGTTTTGGGATCATTGTATAATTGGGCATGTCAAACTGCATTAGCACTCAAGTGTTGTCAGCTTTGATTTTGCCTTAACTTATTAGGGCATTTTTAGTCCTAATCCTCAAATACTTATAATTTAGTGGGCTAGGTTAGGGTTGGATTGTGGATTAAATTTTTTCATTCATCAAATTTTTTATTATTTAAAAAAAATTAAAAAATATATAAATTTAAATATTTATAAATATAAAATAAATATAAAATAAATTATAAACATAATATAAGTAAAAATTGTTGTGAATTTGTTAAAAAGAGAAAGTGAAATATGAAAGAAAGAAAAAAGAAGTATAGAAAGAAAATCAAAGGAAAAATAAGATAAACAAGTATGAGTTCTTAAAAGTAAGAAAATATCATTTTTTCTATCTAAAATATGTCTTTATATAGGACTCTTAACATAATTAAGAGAATAATTATAATTCAACATACCATTAGTGTGATGGTTGTAAAATACATTAAAAGTCATGAAAAATAGAGAGTTACACGAGCCAAATGAAGTTCATTGTACATTTACATACTTATAAAACCGAAATGCAAGAGGGCGAGAGAATGATTTAAATCGCTTTATTTCGTTTCTTCAAAGCCTGATTGTGTTGAACACCTTAAACGGTCAGATGATGATGTTGCAGCAACCTTGGACGTGTGTACTAATGCCAAGAAGGTAAAAATAAGACAAAAAAATAAAATAAAGAGAAACTAACTTATTATAACATGAGGCAACCGCTGCCGGAAGTCGGAGAAAACTAGATCATGTAATTCTAAGATCCATTCATAGCTTCGCGTGTCATGCAAGATTTTCAATTTTCCATAGAACTGGGAAGTTAATTTCAATTGTTCTCGATAATAGGCAAATAATAATCGTGGTCACCGGTCATCAATAGTTGGCTAATGCACCCGAGAAAATCATCCAAGAAAAATAGTGTGATTGTAAAGCTTGTTTCTCATGTTAAAATTTCAAATTAGATAGGCATAGATAGACATTTAATGTCCATGTGTTACCTATTACAGAAACTATTCCATTTTTTCCCCTCATTACTTTTCTTTATTCTCTTCGATTTCACTCTGTCTGTCTCTCTCTCACATCTCTGTACATCTCATGCCTTTCCAAATTTAGTCAGGCGCGGAACCGGAAGAAAACTTCTCGGAATGCTAACTGTTTATTCACTTTAATGTGTTTATAATATTTTCACTGTAGATGTAACTGAAATAGAGATCTTTCTTTTTAAACAAGGGGCGCGCAACTTGAGAAGTACACTGTTCCAACCCTGAATTTAGAATACTTTCATCTATGGTTGTGCAAGAAAGAAGCTTCATGTGGATGCGCGTTTCAAGCAAATCTCAGCGGAGTGAGCAGATGCTGTAACAACTCAATGACGTATTCCAATAAAAAAGGACACAAATAAAACTGGAAGCCGGAGCTCAACATGTTCCGTCATAAAAGAGGTGCTAAGAATATTTTACAAGGCAAATACCGTGCTCAAAGTTTAAGCTGCATCAAGACAGAAGAATCAAAATTGTTCACATTATACTCCTTGTAACCCCGAAGAAACTAAGCAAAATTACATAACCATACAGGAATCACACCTTAAATGTAACATATTCTTTCATTCAGTTCATTGTAATTACACATAGACACTTAGGAGAAAAATTCCTCCCATATCATTCCAATCTAAACGAATCAAACTGAAATTACGATAGTGTTTCATTCACTTATTTATTACCAAATTCAAAGAACCAGGATAATCTTCAGACAAAAGGCATAACACGGTTCAACAACATCAAATTATATAGAGGCAACAGCAGCATACACAAGAATAGCACTTCCAAGATGAAGAATACTTTCAAGCCCCACGTCCCATAGTCTGATCTGATGGGGGAATCATAACCAATACTTGTTGAGCATTAAAACCAGGATGAGGTAGCCTACGACGGAGCTCACGACCTTCTTGACAAAGAGCACAGACATGACAGAAGACATGAGTTGCCAAGTCACATGCCGACTCACACTGTTCACGCTGTGCCTCATCCACCAAAAAGCTTCCGCAGCACCCACATGACCTATTAAGTGCCTCACAACTTCCCTGATTCCCAAGGACCACAAATAATTCATACTCAGAATTGAATTATTTTTCAGAACATAATAGTATAGAAATGTGATTTTTGTGTTTGTGGGAGAATGGCAGAGAGAGAGAGAGATATGAGGAAAACAAAAAACAAAACAAGATGATTGGAATGCAAAGGAAAATCTCACTTCTATCAATCTGGAATTCGCTTATATAGACTTTTCATCCATGAAACAAGGCAATATATACGATACTAAAGGACATAAGTAATATTAAGCAATAAAAAATTGATATTGAATGCACCTGAAGTTATACTGAACCAAACTTCAAGCACCCCAACTGACCTATCACATTCCTACAAAATCTACATAAAAATACCAAAAATGTTCAATTAATCCAACTTACCCCTAATAATAGGATTATTTTCTCGGGTAAATCCATAAATGACAAACAATTTCGACTTCATAAAAAAGGCTAAAGCTTAGATTACTTTCTTAATACACGACTCAATCTATAATCACTCAGTACAAGTTCACCGCACTTGACATATACCCCATTGTACCAAAACTTTTTGGACAAGGTGTACAAAATACACTGAACGAATCACTACATGAAAAAAGTTCAACAAAACCAGAATTCTCCAGTCCACTATAGAATTAGAAATTTGGCACCATTTCTTAAACAATAATGCCGATCCAGCATTTTAGTTATGTGGATAGATTATCTTGTTCATTTTAGAAAGATGGATCTCGAATGTTCCAGCTAGACAGAGTAGAAAAACCTAATTTGCATGAAAAAAATTATCTAGTGTTATGCTGTATGTCTAATGCTAGTGTCAATTCTTTATATCTAATAATAATCCAGAAATTTGAAGTCCACAGGTTAACAATTGAAACAAGATGATAACATTTTTGGCAATAGGTGTGGCACTTATCAGATATTAAACATTATGATAGGAACTGGATCAGATCACACAGAAAAAGTGAATGAACTTATAATATTTTACTATAACCAGTGATATCTGCAGTGATATAGATGGATTTACAATAAATCACAATACTGAACTGAAGGAAAAAGATACCGTAGCACACACGTCATTCAGAGGTCCAGATCTCTCCAGTCCACTCCTTAGTCAGTATTTCCTTACCTTCCCTCTCCACTCTTCTCTCATTTTATATTTCACTGTAGTTTATGGCCAAGCTGGCACTCAGTTACCCTCAGTCATGCCAATTTCCTCACCCACTTGGGACTCTAATTCCCTATGATTCTTCCTCACATACACCCTCATGGCAGGAGGTTCGAGAGCGAAAATAATCACTAGATGATAAGAAGCAAAGAATAAAAGAGCAACTTACCTCTAAATTGAACCTGCGACGAATAGCAGTACGGCTAGGATAGGAAAACCATGGTGCAAGACAATTCCAACCAAAGCAGGAATTCCCAACTATATACAGACCAGAGTATGGCAAGCAATGATTGGCAAATGTTCCTGGAGCAGATCCAAGTCTCTCAACATTGCTCCCATACAGCACACAAGGAGCCACACTCCCAAGAAGACCTAGCCCATGTCATGAGTTCAAGTATAAGCAAATTGGATAAATGTAATGGGGATCCAGATGGAAAACACATCAAATGGAGCATGAGGCTCAAGATCCACAAGCATTTTTGCTTTATAACAATAGCACTAGTTCTCTTTTCTTTTTTATTTCCGACAAAGTTAAAAGCAACAAATGTTATTAATTATGTTATAAACATAATAACAAATATTTCCACCCGTCCTTATGGTTCAGGATTAGGAAGTCTAATTCCCAGCCATAAGGTTGAGGTGTACATGAGAAACTCACAATCTTTCCACTGTTGAATTCGCTGAAAGACTGAGCTTTTCAGATTATTGTCCGAGCAAAGCATTCATTTTCAATAAAATAAGGATGATAACTTATCTGCAAACAACCTTCGTACAGTCAAATGGAAAGCTAGTTTGGACGAAAACACATGTGAGATTGAAAAAAAATTGAGAAATGAGCTTTATATGAAAAATTTATCTCTAAAGACCTTTTCTCCTCCAATTTTAAGGGATACCAAAATTGACTCTTGAAAATATCACTATATACAAAATAAAATTGATCAGGCTACTATTTTGTTCCCCTCAACGAAATTCGAATTCGATCAATTACACAACGACGTTTCTCCTATTAACAAAATGTCATTCGTTTGAACGCGGAATTAGAGAGAGGGAGGGAGAGAGAAGGGGCTTACAAACTTCGAGATCGCTACTGCAAAACTCATCGTTTTGGCCGAGACAAGAGCAGATGCTGGAATTCCAGGAAGAACGGCCCATGGGCTGGCCCACGACGCTGCCATGGCCTAGGGGATGACCATCAGCGGTCCATCCAAGAATAAACTCAGGTGGCGTTGGTGCTGTTTTGGATTTGTTATCGGGTTGTTGTTCCTTTTCCTGTTGGTGTTGTTGGTGGAGAAGAGGACTTGCCTCCTCGTGATTACGTTGCTCATCAGCCATTGAAGATTGAAGATTGAAGATTGAATAACAGAATTATCGATGGGATCGAGAAATGTGAAGGGATGGGATGTCGGTGGAAACAAAAGATTCCCCGCCTCTTCTATTTTTTCTTACCACACCACACCACACGTAACTTATTCATTCGCTTCCTCTTTCTCTTTCGACCACGTCAACGCCACCCAATTATTACTAATATTAATTCTTCTATATCTTACTTCTGGATTCTTCCTCCCTAAGCTAGATACATGCACCGTTGGATCATTTATGCACTTCCCTCCCATTTCCTTCACCTATAAAATTACTCTCAAGTTATAATTAAAAATATTTACTGATTTGTATGTTATAAATATCATTAATAACAATATAACGTAAGAAACATATTAAACAAAATAATTAAGAGCTTGATAAATGTTTGATATCTTCTTATAGCAACTTAATCTCTGTCTCATGAATAATTTCATGTACAAAAAAATTATTTTGCAAAATGTTATCCGAACGTATAAGGTTTTTTCCTCTCAAAGACAATAAGTTTTTCGTTTCCCCCCAAATGTCTAGCTGATTTTGAGAATATTTGGCCACGTCAAGCTAAATATAATTTTATTTGTCAACCCAAATTGTTAAAAAATTAGCATAATGACACCTAGGAAATTTAAATTATAACTGAATATATTATTCATTCCATGTTTCTAATGACAAAACATGCCCTTTGATATGCAAAAAAAAAAAAAAAACCTTACTGCACATATACAATTACATGAGGTTTCCCTTTTCTTATTTTAAAAATCAAATGTTCATAAACTGGAAATAAATAAATAAAAGGAGAGAGGATGATCATTGCTAGGCAAATACAATATACAAACAAAGGCAAATCAGACTAGAAAAAATTCGAGTTAGAAAAAAGGACTAAGAGAAAAAACAAAGAAGTGCAAAAGAGTCTAGGAAGGCATTAATATTGAGGCGATAAGGCTTGCTGGCTTGGGGTCCTTGTGGTTCCCCCGATAGCATCCAAACAAGCACGAATGATTGTGTGCGCTGTAATGTTTCATCCTATAGAATCTGACCTATTTTCTCAATTGAGCGAACGATACGAAATAAATCAGATGAATTTTTCGATCAAAAGTACTATGTGACATCTTCGATTTTTTCCTCTTTCTCTATTCCTATCTCGTAAGTATAGTTGAAATTGAGATCTTAAGTAAAATTAGATAAAAATTAAAATAAAATCGTAATGTAAAAAAATCGTAAAAACGTAAAATCGTAATGATAAATTAAGATTTTAACAATAATAGAGTGCCCACTTTTTAAATTTTTGGATGAGTTCGTATATATATAATCATTTACAGACATAGCTTTTACACCGGAAGATTTTTAAAAGTATAAAAAAAATTGTTAAAATTTTACTAGATAATATCATTTTATTAGATAAACACTTATTTTATTCTCTAAATATACTAGGGTCATCATAGCCTTCAAAATATTTTAGTAATCATTTCTTTTTTATAAATATTTTAGTAATCATTTTATTCTCTCATTAACGCAAGATGTTATTACATTAATCTTTTAAATATTTTTTACATCAATTTAGTCCTAAATAATAAAAGAATTAATTTAGTTCTTCATTCATCAAATTAGTTCATAAATTAATACTCCATTAAACTCATTTTCTTTTTTTGGTTTTTCAAAGTATCCTCCAACAGTCGAAGACTAATCATTTCGAGACGGGAGATCACATTAAGTGGATAAATCTCTCTCAACAAAGCTTTTTTCGTACACACGGCCAGGAATCGGAACAAAATTAGTGATAACTAAATTAAAAAACCAATTTGAAACATTTTGAATAGTTAAAAATCTAAATTAGTGAATACCAAAAAATTAATAAAAAAATTAGCAAAACGTAGCAAGGAATCTAAACTTCGTCACGTAATTTGTTGGTTTGGAGAGACAACAGCAAGGAAGTCAGATCTCTCTCATATTTAAAACAAAAAGGAACATATCTTAACGAAGGTTACAAGAATATTTGACACCGAACATAAGAAAACACGCGGTTCTTCTATCATTGCCGTCACCACACAATTCTCAATATATATATATATATACGGAATTTTCCTATATCACATATACGTGCAAAGTATGATAGAATATCCCAACTTCTCCATCATTACGTTCGCTCTATGTATATAATACATAAGAGCATGGAGTCTTAGCTCACTTCTGCAGTGTAAAGCGTCTTCATCCACGAACTTTCTTAACCTGCAGTATAGAAGTTTTACAAATTAAAACAAAATATAATACACGACATAAGAAAAACTGAAAATAGAAATTAACTATATGCTAAAAAATATATATGAATAAGGAACGAATTTTAGAGACAAAAAATATTACATTTTTAATTGGGATGAATTTAGAAATGAAAAAAACAACTCGTCCTTATTTGAAATGGAATTAGCGACGAAATATATTATGTCTCCATTAAGGATGAATTCTGAGACGGAAAAATATTTTATCCCTATTACTAATGAACTTAGGAACTGAATGTTTTCAATTTCTAGAATCCATCTATTTTTAGGATAGAATGTTTTCGATTTCTATGATCCGTCCCTTGTTTTATCTCTAATAGGGATAAAATATTTTCCCTCTCAATTTAGGATAAAATTAGGGATAAAATACCTTTCATTTTTGAAATGCATCTCTAATAGGGGCGAGAAATATTTTATCCCTAACAAAGATGAATTCATGGACATGATTTTGTATTTAAGTATTATTATTTAAGAAATTGCAAAATCATGAATTTTTTTGTGTAATTATCTATATTGGATGCTTTTGTTAAAAAGAAATGTAACATTATCCGAAGGGTTGGTTGTAAAACCTTAAAAGATAATAATAATTATAATAATAAAAATTATTATAAATAACACTTCAATATATATAATTCAATCACAAATTATTATAAATAATATTTTAAAAATATATAAATTATTAGAAATAACACTCCAAAAAGTAAATAAAGGAATTTTAAAGTGGGGAAGTTTTATAATGAAGACGATAAAAGTAAATATTACGAGTCATGGTAACTTCTTTCTTTCTTCTAAAATATAAACTTCATGAAAGTGTTATTTTGTTATTTACTTTACTCTTTCTTTTATTCACCTAATCGGTCCTGATGAGATACTGTGTTCCTATTTATTTTAAGTTATTTATTTGAGCAATTTATATTTCTACAGTTTCTAATTTTGTAATTTATACTTCAACAATTTATATTTTAGATTATAAAAAAAAAATTGTCAATTTCAGTAAGACTTACATTCCAAGTCTTTTGTGATATATACATATATAATTATAGTTCAAATACATAAGTAACGTTTCTCAATTAATAATCGAAAAATGTTACATGGGTAACCCAATCCGTTAGTACACACCCCTCACATAAAAATTATATGGTTTGAAGAGTAAATATTTGGTCACAAAAATTTTAATATCATGTAAAATATCATTTCAATAACTTAAGTTATTGGATGAAAGTTATAATATTAATTTTATATTTTATTTGTCCAACAATTATAAAATTTAAGCAAAAATATTATAATATTTAAGTAAAAAATATTACAATATTATGATTATTGTTTTTTTCCAGATAAACAGGATAAAGTGATGTAGATGACTCAAAATGGATCAAGTCCTTGAGCTACTGAAACTCCATATATAAAATCCACTCCATATATAAAATCCTCACAGATATATATTACATGATTTTATTACAACTATTCATTTTTTATTTTTCTCTTTTTTCACCCCATCCAATGTTGATACAACTCTTCAAAGATATTTGTGTACAAGACCTGGGTCATCTTAAGTTCAAGAAGGAAGGATATGAGGTACATTTCTCAATTCTAACCGTACATTTTTATTAAGTTATATTTATATATTTTTTATTATTATAAAACAAAATATATTTTTTGTGATTACTTATACTTTTAAAAATTATATAGTATCTCAATTCACACCAGGAAAATAGGGTAAAAAGTGTTTTAAAATACTAGTTCATCCAATGTCGATCTCGCCGGGACACTAACTCCTCTTTCGGAGGATTTGGCTTAGTAGTTAGACCTTACTTACAAGTTGACTTCTCTAACCCTCGAAATCCCCAGGTTGAACCCATGACTTCGGGTCAGAGGGATCATTGCATTTAAAAAAAAATTATACACGAAATGATATCGTTTGATGTATAAAAAAAATAAAAAACAAAACAAAATAAAAACTCGTTGTTGACTAGATTTAGAATTAAATCTGAAATCTTAATCGTTTCTCTCTCCCAAACCCAGTTTTCCTGATCTGGTGATCTCCTCCACTGTGGTTCTTCTCTCCCCACTGTTAATTTGTTGTGTCGCCTCCTCTCCTCCTCTATTTTCTATTGGGTAAGGGATCTTCTTTCATATATATATATATATATATATATATATATATATATATATATATATGAGGTAGGATCTTTGACACCGGTGTCAAATTTCAATTTTGACACCTCATCTGAGAGCCGTTAGATTAAAAAAGATCAATGGTGTCACATGCTTGCAAATCAGAGTCGTTGATGCTTTTTTATCTAACGACTCTCAGATGAGGTGTCAAAATTGAAATTTGACACCGGTGTCAAAGGATCCTACCTCTATATATATATTGTTGTAGGTGCATGAGAAGGATAATAATGACCTGAGTTTGATGATATAACTTTTTACTAACTCCGTTGGAATATGTGTTTTATACTTTGATTAGTTTGTGAATATTGACTTGTGAATGTAATTAGTTGAATTATGTTAAGTATATTTTGAATCTTTAATGTTTGGTGGTTTGATTTTTTTGAAATTTTTTATATAGAATATATATTATATTTTTTAATGTATAAAGTCGGGTGAGCGAAGTGATCCCATGACCCCCTGGTTGAACCTGTGACCCCTGATCTCGTCCAAGTCGATGGTCGGGCCGAATTTTTAAATACGGGTAAAAACTACATCTGAATTAATACATTTTTAAACTAATTTATTTTAGAATTTAAGAATAATTGAGTTTTAAGAAAACAAAAAAAAAATCTCATTTAATTGCTGTCTAAAGTTCTCATGCTCTAACTATAAAATAAATCTTTACTCAAAAGTAAAATTGGATAC